CAAAAATATTTTGGAAAATGCGAAGTATTCCATATTTAATGAAGCATTCAGTCATTTATTTCTGAAAATAGGTCGTGATGTTGTAGTTGAGAAATGATTATAAGCATTAATGCTACCAAATACATTTGAAACTTCTCGGCAGTTCCGACACTTGAACCGTCGAACTCGACATTTCGAAACTGTCGGGATCGACATTTGAACTGTCGTACCCGACATTTATAAACTGCCGGGATAGATAAGTAAATTGTCGAATTGGACAGCTGAAAATTCTTGACACCCTTAATTTGACCTTGTAGTATTGCATAGGTTTAAATATTGGAACGTGTCACTTCCATGCTATTATATAGTCGACATTTTGATTGCGCATAATTCTTATCGTTGCATTCCCAACATTTCAGGTATGAACAATAATTTGAAATTCATCGTGTCACACGAGGGAAAGTTTGTTTACATGAATGATAAATGGAAGTGGACTGGGGAGAAAACCACTTCCATTTTAGTGCCGAGCAGTATCATACTACCGGAGCTATTGTTACGGTTGAACGAGAAACTTGGTGTTTTCGATCCGCGCACAAAATTGGAATTGAAGTTCAAAGTTCCGAACATGAATATACCGCCGGTCGAAATAGTCGAAGATGAAGACGTAAATTGGTACATATCAGTTCATAAAGAAACTACCCTCTGCGTTACGACTTTGGAAATCGGCCTGCCAAGTGTTGAAATGGAGAGGGATACAAATTACAGCCAACAATTGTTCGCCGCAGCGGAAGATCACCACACTGTACAGGACGACAAGCTCAATCATCAGCAAAGTGTCCCAAACAATAATGCAGCGGATAATCCAATTTTTGATGTTCGGACTGCACCATTACATGAGATGTTCGACGATCCCTTACATGGTACAAATACTGGTAATATTGCTGACGTTGACGAAGAACTATTATCACATTCCAAAAGTCCGGATACATGCGACTGGATTTCCACTGTGAATACGCCGGATCTTACCTAAAGGGAAATATTTTTTACCAAGAACGAGTTGTACTCAAGAATTCGTCTACTTGCGTTGCGAGAGAAATTTCAATTTCAGGTTAGCAGGTCAAGCCAAAAATTGTTAACCATTGTATGTGCCGACGATAATTGTAAGTGGATGTTACGTGCTTCGAGTGTGAAGCAGTCCGCCATCTTCATGATCCGCAAATTCAACAATGTGCACACATGTTCCATAGATTATCGTCGTAATGCACATCGACATGCCACTAGTTCCGTAATTGCTGAGCAGATTATGGGGAAATTGGATAATACGTACAGATCGTATGATCCTACCACTATTGCTCGTGACATGGAACGTGAGTTTAGTGTGAAAATTAGTTACCATCAAGTACGTAGGGGAAAGGTCGCTGCTTTACATTTGCTACATGGTACATCGGGTGATAGCTTTCAAAAACTTTCTTCGTACTTGTCACGTCCTAGGAGAGAGTAACCGGGGGACGGTAACGGATATCGAAGTAGATTCTCGTAACAGGTTTCACTACCTTTTCCTAGCTTTCGGTGCAAGCATTCGGGGTTACTTGCACTACATGAGGCCCGTTATTTGTGTTGACGGCAATCACTTGAAATGTCCGTACAAAGGTAACCTTTTACTGGCAACTGCCCAAGACGCCAACAAACGATTTATCCGTTAGCTTGGGGGATTGTTGATGCCGAAACGAATAGATCGTGGATGTGGTTTTTATCAAATTTGAAAGATCTTATAGGTAACTCGGACGAATTGGTGTTTGTTTCCGACAGGAAAAATAGGAATGAAAATGTCATTGCTTACCTATTTCCTCGGGCTCACCACGAGTGCTGTGTTTGGCATATGGAAAAGAATTTAATCCAGCGGTACAACAATGCAAGTTCAATATTTCTATTCAAAAGAGCCGCAAGAACTTACCGGACTGAAGAGTTTGAAAGACTTATGGGACAGTTTCGTAGGACTAGTGCAAGAGCGTACGGGTACTTGGAGCGAGCAGGTTTCCCATTTTGGTCACGTGCACTATTTGTTGGCCAATGGTACAACATTTTGACCAACAACAACGCAGAATCTTTGAACTCAATGTTGAGACATGCCCGTTCGTTACCGATCATGTGCTTAGTGGAACACATTCGGCATACTATGCATAAGTGGTTTTATGAACGTCGAGCAAGTGCAACCGCATACAGTATCGTTCTGTCAACAATGATGGAAAATGAGTTACGGACGACGTTCGAAGCAGGTACTAGGCTGCGAGCGCATGGCTTGACAAATAACTTAACACGAGTTGGAATATCTAACGACACAGACATCGTAGACTTCTCCGAAAAGATGTGCACTTGTCGTGAGTTCCAGCTGAATTGTATGCCGTGCGTTTATATAACCCGTGCTGCTTGCCTGAGAGGTAAGTCATTGTACGATCTCTGCTCACCGTATTACACATCCGAGTACTGGAAGGGTGCCTATGGAGAAGCTATATATCCTATTCAGCGTGAAGTGGACTGAAATGTTCCACCCGAAATTACAGGTACTCCTATTATGCCCCCTAGTGTACGTCATCCTCCAGGTAGACCACCCACACGACGTAAGCAATCCAGACACGAGTACACCACACGGCTCAGAAAATGCACTCGTTGTGGTAGACTTGGTCATAACCGGACCACATGTTCGAACCACACTGTACCACGTCCAATGTAAGCAGTATTTTGTACGTGAGTGGTTGAAGTTGTAAGTGAAGCGTTCCCCCGATGTTGTTTGTATATGATAGTGTAAATATTGTATTACTGTTTTCATTCTCTTACGCATAAACATTACTCTTTGTTATGTTAACATTAACAGAACGCAAATAGGCACAACGCACTACATAACTGTCTCGAACCAAAATACAATTTTGTTGTGCATAACATTGTTACCTTTGTTGACACTATAAATAGAATGTACGGAATATGAAAAGTTCAACCATTATACAAGTTTCCTTTGAAATGCATATTACGAACACACCATTTGTAGCGCATAACACTGTCCGCAAAGTTCACAAACTACGTTCAATGTACACATTAGGTTGTGTTCGTTCACCCAAACTACATGTTATATGAATATGCATACTACATACACAGAAAATTTGCCAGTAAACCCCGACAGTTCATCTGTCGTTCCCGACTGATGGTGCCTGCCATTCTCGACAGTTGTGTGACGCTCCGCTTAATAAAATACAAAAAACACATAACTTGCCAACGGGAGTTTCCTACTTGCTACAAAATTGGTTAAGCCTCACAAAATCCATCCGTTACAAAAACCACTATACATACATACGTAGAAACCCACACACACAACAAAGCCGGACTCTTCACTTGGAGCTAACACTTGAACCTTCTTCCCCACCGTCATCATCCGAGCTGATGACAATTACCTCGGGCGATGGAACGCGACCTTGCCCCTCATCCTCGTAACGTTGAACTTCGTCTGCATCCATAAATGGGACGACCCATTCAAGCACATTTCTCGGAGACTCACCTTCATCACTTGCAACTTCGTCCAGGTTCGAAAAGGGAACGACAATGATGGCTCTCCTACCACCATTCGAACTCACTTCCTCATCGTCCGAAGAAATTACGATAGGATATAGCGGGGTTGAACCGGGTGTCGGCATCGGCTCATGAAGTGCCAGCGGTGAATTGCTTCCCGTGGACGATGCCATTATTTTCGTACGAAGAAACAGACTTCAAATACTTTGATACGTTCCTGCTACAAGATGCCTCAGAAATAGTTTTATATTTCCCACTTGAAGAGTGCAAGCCTTGCTTTATACTGGAGGTATATGAGGACATTTAAAGCAATTTACCAACCAACCACCATTTCATTTCTACTTAACACTTGATTGACCATTGGTGTGATGGTTTAGTGTGATGGTTAAGAGTGTAAGTGTACTTTAATGCAGTCCATAAATGGTGAGAATTATGAGTAAATTGTACCTATGTGCAATACCTGCAATGGCAACATTTCTGCAATGAATTTGTACTTACATTACTTAACAAAATTTTTGTACTCCTTAGTCACAATTGAATACCGTTTTTAAATTCTAAATCATATGAATTGCATGAAAAATTGATAAAATTAATGTCCCTGCCAATAAAGATGAACATTGGATGACTTTACAAGCCATTTTTAAAATAAACTTTAATTTCTACGAACAAGCGAATTTATACTAAAACGCATGTCGAAATAAACATACATCGGTTGTAATGTTGGGGCCAACGTAGCAAAGATAACATCGAATTTTTCATTCTATGGTAATGCGAATTTTACAATAATCATTGTCCTCGATCGTTCGATCACACTCCATTACACACAAAATCATTTCATACCATGACTCATTTGTGCAGGTATAACACCTTCAACTCCAATGAAATGAAATTACATAATACTACTACTTCATCAAGTACCATGAACATCAAATTAATTAGAGTGCAAACAAATGTCATGTCTCAATGTGCGTTCCACTTAACCATATCCTCATATGGAATTGAAGTAATCTCATAAACCCCCTTGACATCATCAACCATCTATCTGATTCAGAAGGGAAGAACTTGCATCAGTATCTCAATTTCAATTCAAACACATCATATGTGATACGATGTAATCGTTTCCACAGTTGCACCTTCAGGCATGAGCCCAGGTTTGGATCCCTTTGGCTGTTATTTGGTGCTATTAACTATACCTCTTCATCATTGTACAAAAACTCGTCATCACACCTCGATGAAAGCACATGCTCAACTGAAAAATCAGCCCTCCGAATTAATCAGCTGCCTACCTGCATTAGGTGTCCACTAAAGTGAAATGACAGAGCAGAGCAAGTAATTAACTATCCATCCAATCAACGTAAGAACCAGAAAATGTACTCACCCATGGAGTAGAAAATGTGCAGGCAATCTAATGGCCAAAAAACGAACCCTTTCACATATCATAAACAATACAGACCATAAATATAATGGTGAAGCCAACATACAAGACAAGGAAGGCATCGCACCAGACCAACGCAGAGGCTCATGTTCGCTGGTTAACAGCTTCGGATGGCCGTAGTTCGAGCGACTATAAAATTCATAAGGAGTCCACACTCCACTTCATGTTGAGGCTTGGTGGTGACAGGCAGATTATTGTCAAAACCTTTACTGGGAAGACAATAACCCGTGAAGGTGAAAGCTCCAACACCAGCGATAATGTTGAAGCTACAATTCAGGATAAGGAAGGAATCCCACCAGACCAGGAGTCAACTTTGCACTTCGTGCTGAGGTTGCGGGTAGGCATGCAGATTTTTGTGAGGACTCTAACAGGAAAAATCGTCAGTTCGTGTTGACAAGTCATATGACTGGGATGTACAAGAATGATGATATATTCATTTTAGTTATGATGTTGATGTATCCTTTCACATTTCATGAACAATACATGCATTATATCGTCAACGCATACACACAAAATTTACCGACAGTACCATCCCATGCTTACACTAAACATGTATTATAGCAAAACGATATGTACCCTACAAAAGACAGTTTAACGTGTACCATATTTCAGGAACTGTAAATGCATTATGTCGTCAACGCATACACACAAAATGTACCGACAATACCATCACATGCTTGCACTAAACATTTATGTACTGTACATAAGACAATTTAACGTGTAGCATATGGGTGAGCAAACGTATCCGTCCCTAAACCAAACCAAATTCAAAGCATGTCTTTGTTACCAACAACGTATCTACTACTACATCAGACCTTATCAAACCACTTGAACTCACTCATTTCTTTACTCTCTTTGCCCTTCCCCTCGTGTATGGCGTCCATGTAGGTGGTGCACGATGTCGAACACGAGTCGATCGCCGCCTATTTGTGCTGCCCACATTGCCTCCCTTCTCCGGTATGGTCACTTGTGCCGACAACTCTGTGTCAGCACCCATATAAAACATTTTAGCATTTTAGTGAAACTGTTCTGTGTGAACGACACCACATAGTCGTGGAATAAGATTATTGAAGGAAAAAAAGCACATACCGTCCACCTCCGTGACGTCATGAGTCGATGGGCCTTCCTTGTTGTCGTCGCTGGGGAGGGTGGGGACAGTCTCTCCTGGGTCTAGTTCAAAGAAAATTGGGTGAAATGAATAAACACAAGATATGAATTATCATTTGCATAGGGGGGGAAGTGTTTGGTAATAGAACCCAAATCACAGAAGTTGGAAAAAATTACGCACGTACCATTCATGTCCTGCATGTCACCCTCCTCCGTACGGTCGTCGTCCTCTGGGCTCTATTTGTCTCCGCCTTCCCCATCTAGTTGGAAGATAGAGAACAAATGAATGAACGAGTGAAATTGAATATATATGCGTATGATGAAATGAGACGACAGAAGTTGAAAAAAATAACGAACGTACCGTTCACCGCATGTATTTCACCCTCGTCTGCATGGTCGTTGTCGAGTGTGCTCCGTTTGTCGCTGCCTTCCCCGGCTACTCGAAAACAAATAAGTAATTATTGAACGACTTAAATTGAAGACAGTAAGTAAAGGCAAATAAAATAGGACAAGAAAGATATCAGGAGATGAGATGACATAAAATACAAAATTTATGCACCGTTCCCCTCCTGCATTTCAGCCTTGTCACCACGGTTGTCGTCATGCGGGCTCCGTACGTCGCTGCCTTGCCCGTCTACTTGGAAACCAAAAAAAAAAATAGTATTACACTCATATTCAATAGACTAGCATATCACGAGATGACATGACATCGAAGACCAAAAATGTGTTACATAGAACTAACGGACATACCATTCACCTCCAAGTTCCCGATAGGGGAAGGACGGCCACCGTCATCCGGGCACAGGTCCATGTCGCCTCCATGTACATCAAAGTAATTTGGCAAATTCAAAAATACATTTCTAAGCAAACGCATATGAAAAATTGCACACGTGTTGTAAATGGAAGTAACAGTAACATAAACTCATATCTTCGTGGGGGTCGTCCCAAAGGTTTGGCTCATTCACTACCGGAGCTGCAGCGGAAGTGGAGGTGCCACTAGACGGGGGCACCAAGGTAGAAATGAAGTCCCTCAGTCTGGCGAACTCCTCGGTGACGTGCTGCATGATTTCAAGTTTCACGGTCCGCAACCTCATCTCGAAGAGGATGCACTGGTCATACAACATGCCCTTCACGTCCTCCCTCATCAAAGTCACTCCACCACGCGTACCCTGAACCCCAGATGTGGACGAGGCAACCACTGGAGTGGGTAATGCACCCGACTATCGTCCCGAGGCATCCACTTCGTCCTCGCTGTCACTACCACCGGTCTCGCTGGAGGGGTCGCGATCGCTTTCTCCACTGTCATCAGGCTTAGACCTATCGTCCCCGTTGCCCTCCGGTGTGTGATGGCCATCACTCGCGGATATGTCAACGTCCTCGCCCCTGCACCGGACTCGTCGTCATGCCCGTCACCCGCATCGCTACCGTCATCTTCCCCACTAGCTAGTGCCGCCTCATGGAACTGTGGGCCGACAACCCTCCTAGCGAGGTCGTCCAAAAATTGCACTGGATGATCGGGAAACGGCGCCAAACTAACGATGTATGGCAGATCACGCTCGACCTCCGTGGGACGAGTGCGGCGTGCACGTGCAGCTGTAGAAACAGGGGAGAACATGTAGTTAAAATATAATGCATACTATTCCCAATTAAATAAAATAATGGAAAGGCAAATGAAAAATGTCCATGACCTGTATGTCCCTGAAGAACGCATCGTATGTACGCTGCTGTGGTTGTTTGGTGGAGGTCCAGCACAAAAGTCGGGGCGAGCGTTCACCCACACGCTCACCAAAGCTTTCGTCGAGTTCAGGCATGGCCTCATATGCCCAAATCTGTCCGGACGATAACAAAACAAATGTCGCATTAATATCCGTCCAAACACTATGGAGGCATGGTCTAATACTGACAAACAAAACACATAAACATAATGTTGTTCGTACCTGCATGACGATTGAAAATTCGTGAATTGTGTAACTGACGTCCTTCTCGTTCTTCGTCTTCGCATCGCTCATTTACGTGCCCAAATACCCTAGAATCCCTTCAACAAATGCCTATACCCCACTTTGGCCCAGGGGTACGCAAAAAACAGCTCCAGGTCGTCCACGATGGCAAGCGTATCCTCATCAATGCTGACATTATTGTCCGGAGCAGTGATAACTCCTTCCACAATTAGAGCAAGCCCGAGCTTGTATCTATCTGCCCCGGGTGTCGACGCGCGGAGAAAGGCCTTCTCCAACTGGGCACATGAAATCTTTTCCAGCGATTTGAAATATTTTTCCTTCAGCCTCCTCTTCTCCAATGCCTTTGTGTACCGATCGCCCTCCGAAAACGACCCAGCATGCAGTCCAGTGACGATAACATACTCCTGCAGTCCAAACCGGGTAAGGTGGCCCTGTACATTGAACTACAACTCATGGGACTTATCGCAACGGATCCCTCGGCACACCAATGCCTGGATCAGCTGAGTAGAAAACTGGATCTCCGAAAAGTCAGCTCGAAGTCGGTCGTTGAAGTTATCCATCACTGTTTTTATGTACTTAAAGTTGCTCCGTTGCGAGATACGTGCCGGCAACCGTTCATTCTCGGGCACCAGAAATTGAAATTCCATAATATCTGCAGATGAAACGATAATGGTTAGACCATAATTTAACAGCAGCTGAATATTACAAATTACAAGCGTACTTCTGCGGAGCATGCAACCACATCAATTGGAACAAGTAATACGAGAAACTTATAAGAACATATCATCTACCCAAAGTTGCAGTAAACATTTATTATGGCGAATTGTGCTTGCAATATTCAACAAAATAACATGTTAGCAAAAAAATTTTGTAATGTGTAAAAATACATGCGGTAATGACATCTGAATGTTTGACAGACATGTTGTTTCTTGACGCACTTGCAGTGTCGTCTGTGCCCACCGTCATGTGTCGAGACACTGTCACCGAAACCTGTATCGACAGATGACTGCACTCTGCCTTACAGTGGCATACGTCATCTGTCGAGAATGCCAGCAGCTAACTGTCGGGAACGACAGTTCATCTGTCGGGGTTCAGCCAACTGTCGAGAATAACAGGAGGCAAATGTCGGGAACGATAATTTTCAACATAAATATGGCATACGTATTCATGGTGTCCCAACCCACAAACTTGCTACATAACAGTGGAAAACCAGGCTCCCGAAAATTCACAAAACGCTTTAAAACTTAGATGTTACATATGCATGGTGCCCTATATCAAAATGTAGAACATGCCCAAATCCGGTCATCCCAAAAATCACAATGAAGGTGAAAACGTGGATATTAATTCTAGAAAGTCATTTCATAGCCAGCCATGCAAAGTACGAATGTAAACACAATGAAGCAACCAAGTAAAAAACGACCGTTACAGTAGAAGGCAAGCAAACAAGACTAGTTTCCCCTTTATAACTACATTGAAAACACCATCTAAGAGATATGCAAAGCAGCAAGTTGGTTTGTGAATATCTTGTGCGAGATAAATTCAATACATATTCGTACATCACAATAACAAGAGAGAAGAAAGTGCTTTCACCTCGTCTAGTTGTAGCAGTTGCAAAGAGCTATGGACAGATATGTCTCTTTTCTTTGTTCACACTCCACAAAGTTTAGTTCTACAACAACAGAAAGAAATGTTGCGCATAAAAAACGTATTGAAGAAGAGCATATATTGAAAATGCCACATTTCTTGAATACCAATCTCCAAATATTTTAATTATTACGCATTATAAACTGAAAGTGTATATCAAGTATAAGCAAAAGTAATATTAAAGCTGATTTGTAATGGTCAAATCCCTTTTCCAAATCAGCCCACAGAATATTGATTCCTATAAGTTACACCTAAAGAATTCATGGTTTTGATAGAGACCACAATGTTGAATGCTGAAATGTGAAGCAAGGATATCAAGTTCACGACATATGTATGAAGAGAAAGTTCATATTCACACATGAAGAATACTGAAATCAAGAAACTAGAAATTGACATCATAAACCAACTAATTGATGCTTAAGCAGTTATAAAGAGAAAATACACTAAATGCTTACGGTTTCGCGTATATCCAATTCAATCTGGTATTCTCATGCAATACTACTGCATTTAATTACCTAAATGAGTTTAATGACGGGCAAAAGAAAAGCAAGTGGAAATGATGATATTCCATCATTACCAGCTCCTTGCATGTTCAGGATTTTCATAACTATGTTCTAAATCTCAACAATCTTAAAAGACGTGACCTTCTTTTAACAAACAATAAAAATGGTCCTCATTTAGAACA